CCTGCCCACACACCGCGTCCAGGAAAAAGAAGACACCGGACCTGCAGGACCTCGCTACCCCTACTCCAGAAGCGCCTCCTGGACTGGATCGTCATGGGACTGGGACACGGAGCCAGGTAAGATACAGCAGCCTGCTGCCCACCCCTGTACTAAGTGTCCCTTCCGTTGGAAGGGGGGGGTGGCGGCACGGCGCCGCCCCCCTAAAAAGTGCCACCCTAGGCAAACGCCTTGTTTGCCTCACGGCAAATACGCCCCTGGTTGTAAGCCTCATTTTGGCGCCCCTGTACCTTGGCTCCCGGTACATATGTACCCCCCTGCCCCCCCAGCTACGCCTCTGAAGGTTGGAAAAGTACTCTCACAAACACCTTCTGCATAAAGTCAACACAGTGTTTTTTTTCATCTCAAGTTTTCTGTTCAGGGTGAGTTGTAAAGAACTTAATTGTGCTTCTGCATGTTGAACATTATTTGGTAGTTTCTTTCTTGAGGCATAAAATGGTAGTTCTGCCCAACTGTTTGTCCTGATAGAATTCCTTGCTCATAGTTTTTAGGAACTCCTTGTTTTCCATGGTGGCGGATAGCTCATTGTATTTAGTTGTTATATTGAACACTGAGGTGCCGACATTATCTTACCAGAAATGAAGGGCCTTGTGATTGCTTCAGGTGGAAAACCATTTTAATGCCTGTACTGCAAAGCCTTTCTTTGACATGGTAGTGATGTGGGCACTACTTGAAACAAGTAATGCGACCATTTGGCAGGACACGTCTTGAAGGACAAAACTGTGGAAGACCTCCTGACATTACTGTGGTGGCAATTTTGGGCCTATAATAATTTTCAACATATTTACCATCTGTTGTATCACCTCAACACACCTCCATGTATGTTACTGTGACTGTGGGGGGGAGGGGGATTACACAAAAGACTCATTGGAGGTGAGGGGGAAGGCAACTGCTTCTTTGTGTACCTTGCTCTGAAGCCCACCCATTGGAAGATAACTTGGGTGGGTGGTTCTTGGGATGGTCTTTTGTAAAGTGCATAAAACACCTTGGACAAAGGAGAAGCCCTCTCTTTATCGTGTGTGCCTTCCAGGAGCCAGACCTCACAACATCAGGGTGTCTGTAATGTATGAGCCATGCTCTATTTTTTTATATTCTATAACTTCCTTTCTTATAGTCATCTCTCTATACTGTAACATCTAATATTTTATTTCATGTAACATCAATTGATTGACTATATTAGTAACTATTTTTCTTCTGTATAAATAAATTAGATATACTTTTTCTTTTTATTTGACACAGTGGTTATTGGTTAGAAATAATCTACAACTGAGAGAGAGGCAACAAGGCCTGATTCTGTTGTGGCAAAAGGTTGTAATCACTTATTGTATTTGAAATCGATAGAACCAAGTAAATAAGTGTGGGAGAGAAAAAACCGCCAAAACATTACCCAGACAGACTTTGTGTACGATGGGCATATAGTGCATCATGTAGACTGTTGATTTGTTGGCAAGCCTTGTGTACCCCTGGGATGTTCGGCCAAGAAGCAGGAGAATATTGGCATTTATGTCAAGAGCTGGTATGTGGTCAGCTATAACTCTCAAGAGTGGTGAGAGACAGCTGCAGTAGTAGAGATCTCCTCTCTGTTGGTAGGAATCTTGTTCCATTTGATGAGAGTGGGAAATGATATTTCAACACTGCCTTTCAGGCAAGATATGTGGCTCTCCTGCCTTAAACTTCTGTAATGCCAGCACAGGTGCCTAGGGTGTATGGTAAGGTATCTCCTGTTATATTTAACAGGTCAAAAAGCTTTGGTCATGCAAGAAACCTGTTACTCTGATCATCTATAATAGTATACAGTCTTACAGTTTTTTCACGTTGACTCTTGGGGTATACACGAACTAAGGATATTTTGTCACAGGACTTGTTACTCACTCCTTCTCCACAGACATTTGTACATGTAGAAACAATTGAAGTATGAGGCATCGTTTGGTCTGGGCTCTCCTCACCATGCTTCATATTACGAAGATTGCCTGTGGACGGAGTGGAACTGTCTTGAAGTGGATAAAGCACTTGAACATGACCATTACTGCCATATTCCATGCACTTAATAGTAGCCTTACAGTCTTTTTGCATAGAGTTCTGTGGAAGCCCGGCATCTGAAACACACCCAAAATTTCTTTAAAATCTGTTTGCGTTCTTTCAAAGGTGTCTTTCTGAAGCCAATATATTTCCTAAGCAGGTGTGGCTTGTTATGTATGGGACCTTGGCAATTTGGGTTCTCGATTTTCTTGTTCTGATTAGTCTTAGACAGGGACTGTAGTAGGTGCAGGTAGAATATCAGTACTTTTCACAGACACAGGACCTTTGGAGTCTCTATGTGAAATGTGGGAGCTTGCAGGCCTTGAAGAAGATGCACCAAGAGGGTTGAACTCCCCAAAGGAGATACCTGGATCGTTCTTAGTATCTCCTAACAGAAATAGGAAAAGGGAGGAAAGGAAAGTTTTTTTTTTCTTCTTTGTACCTTGATACAAGTAATGCTCATTTTTCCTGTATGCCATAAGGTAACTTGGAGACTATTGGTTGACCCCATGAGTAGTATCAAGGTAACTGAGGCCTGGTAGGTGGACATCTGCTTTAGTGAGTTGAAGCTCTAAGAGAAGGTCCCTGAGCTCTACGCCACTGAAACTTTAGATGGTCTCTGCTAGATATTTTCTGGATGCTTTGTAACCTTTTAAATGAAGCATCCTTAATGTCTTCTGTGTTGCTGAAGATACACTCAAGGATACCTTGTCTACTTAGTTTCTGATCTGGAAAGAATTCTCTTTCTTGTTGTGTCTCTGCCGCCAAAGAAAATGTAATGTTTTGATGAGATATTGTCCTGACAATGCAAGAGTGAACTGGCAGTCTCTGAGAAATATATGTGAGGGATTAAAGAAAAAGAGCGGGGCCCTGGAATCTGACTCCCCATTTTTTTTAGCATGCCACCACAGAGTTTGGATTAAATCAGTGGCTCTGGTAACGTAGAAATGGTAAGATTGTCTCACATTAAACATCTAAAATTTATATACTGTATTCCCTCTCCTTCTTTTAAATTAAACACAGTGATATGTCCTTTAAATTAAATCAGTGATATGTCCTTTTTTTTACCATAAATCTTTTATTTTGAAAAATTAAAAAAGACACAGTATAAAGAAATAAGGCAAAAGAATCATATCTTAAAAAAATGTATCAATAAGAATAAGATCAGCATAGTAATCCAGCCTTGCTGTGGGCTGGTCACTTCATCACTGATATTTTTCATGTTCTGGTTGATGTGACTTGATTCTGCCAAAAATAAATCTTACATAAAATCATTCTTGTGGTTGGGTTTTGTATACTTTAATAACATTTCTGGAACTAAGAAAGCAATGCAAATACTAATGCAGCCCACTAGATAAGAAATAACTAAATATTCTCCATATACTCCTAGCACATTAACAATGTAAAACACAGCAACTCAACATACATTCCATATAAGAACTTTCCTAATCCCTATTGATAAAACTTTTATTCTAGCTTTAGATTCCTCTTTGTACTTTTCAAAGCTACACCAGCAGAGTTTACATATTCAGCTATAAATTCCTTGTTTCTGTGACATGCCCTTATAATATTTATTTGAAATGAGGGAAAAACACTTCATCATCACTCCACTCCAAATACAGTATCTTACTTACATACTATGCTAACAACACTGATCAAAAGAAAAAAAAAAACCAAATTGCTCAATTCAAAGTTCCAAGTAGAATTAAAATGTATCTGGATTGTAAAATAGCTAGACATATAGTTAGTTATATAGTTTAGATTTATTTATTTAGACACCTGATGCTCAACCTTTTGTGCAGTCACTGCTCCCTGGAAGCCAGCATTCAGTATTTTTGGTGCTTACCATGGCCTTATAATTGTGTGAACTGAAACAGAATGATGAGACATGTCCCTGAAATTTGGATGTGAATCGTGATTGGATCCATCCTGTGGGGAACGTCGGCTTGCTTTACAACTTACCTTTTTGTGGATTGGGTCCGCACCCCCAGCACCTGCCTCGGGACGCCACTGCCTAAGAGGAAGCCTGTGTGTCTAAGAAGCTGCTACTTGTGTTAGATCCCAGCATGTGCTTCAGTCTGGGCACCTGAGGAAGAGAAACCTTTTGAAGCTGGGCTGGAAAAGGGATCCCTCACTGAAGAGTGCTGAAGAAGGGCTGGGTAGAAACCTGGTCATTGTGAGAAGGACCTATCACCTACATCTCTAATTGTTGTGGAACTTTATTATTGAGGGTCAGACACCATTGTCAGGGCTCCCAGGTGTGACCAGAGGTGTGTGACTGACGCAGGGAAACGCAGACCTCAGATATGTTATAAACAATATAATTTATTAACACTAACAATACAAACATAAACGCAGTGCAATACTAAAACATAATACAGTGCAACCAAACCAAACCAAACCAACCACCCACAGATAACAGTACATACAAGCAAGCGTCGTCAGGCAGGCCGGGTCAATATCAATAGGGCAGGTAGGTACAGGGGGAGCAAGCGGAGATTGGTCGGGGTCACAGGCCAGGTTCAGCAGGTAGCAAGCAGCGTAGTGCAGAGAGTCAGGCAGAGGGATGGTCAGGGTCACAAGCCAGGGATCAGAACAGGTAGCAAGCAGCGTGGTACAGAGGATCAGGCAGAGAGATGGTCAGGAGCGAGCCGGGATCAGAGCAGGGGAAGTCAGCAGCGGTTCAGAAACAGGATGCAGGACAGAAACAGGATACAGGGCCCAGGACAAACACAACACCAAGGCAGAGTCTGTGGGTCTGGCCATCCCTTAAATACCCCAGCATAATCAGTTCCAGGTGTTAGCTGGCTGCAAAGTTGAGTCTCTGATTGCTGGGAGCATCCGCTGGCCAGCCCTGGTACTGCAGATCAAAAGGCAGGAGAGTCCCACCATTGCTGGCCAGTCCATTCCTGACAGTACCCCCCCCTCAAGGAGCGGCCTCAGGACGCTCCAAACAGTCCTAGCTGGGAAAAATGTTCCACCGCCCGGGTCTGGTAACTGGCGGGATATCAAAGACCGGCACACACGGGCAGCGGTACACCGGGCAGAGGCACATCGGGCTGGACACCGGGCAGAGGCACATCGGGCTGGACACCGGGCAGAGGCACATCGGGCTGGACTCCGGGCAGAGGCACATCGGGCTGGACTCCGGGCAGAGGCACATCGGGCTGGACTCCGGGCAGAGGCACATCGGGGCCACCAGGCGAAGCGGCAGGCAGCAGGCCACCAGGCGGAGCGGCGGGCACCGGGCCCCCGGGCGGGGCGACGGGCCTCGGGCCCCCGGGCGGGGCGACGGGCCTCGGGCCCCCGGGCAGGGCGGCGGGCGCCGGACCCCCGGGCGGGGCGGCGGGCGCCGTACCCCCAGGCGGAACTACAGGTCTCGGGCCCTCAGGCGGAGCGGCGGGCACCGGACCCCCAGATGGAGCGGCGGGCGCCGGACCCCCAGATGGAGCGACAGGTCTCGGGCCCTCAGGCGGAGCGGTGGGCGCCGGACCCCCAGATGGAGCGACAGGTCCTCGGGCCCTCAGGCGGAGCGGCGGCGCCGGACCCCCAGATGGAGCGACAGGCCTCGGGCCCCCAGGCGGAGCGGCGGGCGCCGGACCCCCAGATGGAGTGGCGGGCGCCGGACCCCCAGATGGAGCGACAGGTCTCGGGCCCTCAGGCGGAGCGGCGGGCGCCGGACCCCCAGATGGAGTGACAGGTCTCGGGCCCTCAGGCGGAGCGGCGGGCGCCGGACCCCCAGATGGAGCGACAGGCCTCGGGCCCCCAGGCGGAGCGGCGGCGCCGGACCCCCAGATGGAGTGGCGGGCGCCGGACCCCCAGATGAGCGACAGGTCTCGGGCCCTCAGGCGGAGCGGCGGGCGCCGGACCCCCAGATGGAGCGACAGGTCTCGGGCCCTCAGGCGGAGCGGCGGGCGCCGGACCCCCAGATGGAGCGACAGGCCTCGGGCCCCCAGGCGGGGTGACAGGCATCGGGCCCCCAGGTGGGGCGACAGGCATCGGGCCCCCAGGCGGAGCGGCGGGCGCCGGGCCCCCAGGCGGAGCTACAGGTCTCGGGCCCTCAGGCGGAGCGGCGGGCGCCGGACCCCCAGGCAGAGCTACAGGTCTCGGGCCCTCAGGCGGAGCGCGGCGGGCGCCAGACCCCCAGACGGAGCTACAGGTCTCGGGCCCTCAGGCGGAGCGGCGGGCGCCGGACCCCCAGATGGAGCGACAGGCCTCGGGCCCCCAGGCGGGGCGGCGGGCATCGGACCCCCAGGCGGGGCGACGGGCATCGGACCCCCAGGCGGGGCGGCGGGCGCCGGACCCCCAGGCGGAGCTACAGGTCTCGGGCCCTCAGGCGGAGCGGCGGGCGCCGGACCCCCAGATGGAGCAACAGGTCTCGGGCCCCCAGACGAAGCGGCGGGCACCGAGTCACCAGGCACAACAGTGGGCACCGAGTCGTCTGGCAAGACTGCGGGCACCGAGTCGTCTGGCAAGACTGCGGGCACCGAGTCGTCTGGCAAGACTGCGGGCACCGAGTCGTCTGGCAAGACTGCGGGCACCGAGTCGTCTGGCGGAACAGCGGGCACAGAGTCGTCTGGCAAGACAGTGGGCTCCGAGTCAACAGGCACGACAGTGGGCACCGGGTCATCAGGTATCGGATTGTCTGGCTCGACAGCGGGCACTGGGTCACCAGGCATCAGGTCATTTGGCTTGCCAGCGGGCACCGCGTCATCTGGCAAGGCAGTGGGCACCGGGTCACCAGGTATGACAGCGGGCTCTGAGTCAATTGGCACGACAGCGGGCACTGGATCAGGTACCGGATCATCTGGATCAACAGCGGGCATCGAGTCAACTGGCCTAATAGGATCGACGGGCTGGATCAGTTCATCATGCTGAGTAGCGGCATCAGGCTGAGGAGAGGCATCAGGCTGAGGAGAGGCATCCGGCTGAGGAGAGGCATCCGGCTGAGGAGAGGCATCCGCTGAGGAGAGGCATCCGGCTGAGGAGAGGCATCCGGCTGAGGAGAGGCATCCGGCTGAAGAGAGGCATCCGGCTGAAGAGAGGCTTCAGGCTGAGTAGAGGCTTCAGGCTGAGTCACGGAAGGCAGGCTCACCGGTTTTGGATACTGGCAGGATGGTATTGGTTGGAAAGAATTTTCGCTTTTTTCTGGTTTTAACTACTGGAGCACTGCAAGTAAACGCAGGTCTGCAAACGAATGGAGCAGCTGGAGACAGAGAAAAACTGGAGGATGGAACAGGAGAGGGAGCAGTTGCTACAGAGGGCTTTTTTACAGGGTTAAAGGCAGGATAGGTGCAGCGAGTGGGAACAGGGTACTGACATGCGGTAGATAGCCAAGTATACTGGGCTATAACTGGAGGAGCTGGTGGGAATACAGGAGTAGAGTTAGAAGCAGGACTGGGTCTTTGTAAGCTGACTGATGCTGGGTGCAACAAGTCTGTCCATGTCTGCAGTATGGGTTGAACAAAGCTGAGCTTACACAAAGCCTGTCTGGTCAATGACTGTACTGCGTTTATACAATCTCTTAGTGTCTGTGGTGAACATGTGGAATAACGCTCCAGAAAGTAACCCACATCATCCTCTAATAACCACACCAGGGACTCTACCTGGTCTGCACTAAATGGTGGCAAAAATTCATCCCTACATTCGGGGGAACCAGATGAAACCAACTCAGCACAAACCTCAATCAAAGGCTGCACCTCAGAGAACTCTGTGCCCTGATCTACTAGAACATGAGCGAGCCGTATACATTCTAGTAGTTGATCCCTGGGATACTCCTTCAGAGTCTGATAAGCATACTCCCTGTCATCAAACACTAGCAGATATAAATACACAACCTCATCCAGATCCATCCTTCCCAGCAACAAGCCAAGATGGCTTCCCTGTGCAGCCACTTCTGGTCAGGATTGGCCTTGGTGTAATGTCAGGGCTCCCAGGTGTGACCAGAGGTGTGTGACTGACTCAGGAAACGCAGACCTCAGATATGTTATAAACAATATAATTTATTAACACTAACAATACAAACATAAACGCAGTGCAATACTAAAACATAATACAGTGCAACCAAACCAAACCAAACCAACCACCCACAGATAACAGTACATACAAGCAAGCGTCGTCAGGCAGGCCGGGTCAATATCAATAGGGCAGGTAGGTACAGGGGGAGCAAGCGGAGATTGGTCGGGGTCACAGGCCAGGTTCAGCAGGTAGCAAGCAGCGTAGTGCAGAGGGTCAGGCAGAGGGATGGTCAGGGTCACAAGCCAGGGATCAGAACAGGTAGCAAGCAGTGTGGTACAGAGGATCAGGCAGAGAGATGGTCAGGAGCGAGCCGGGATCAGAGCAGGGGAAGTCAGCAGCGGTTCAGAAACAGGATGCAGGACAGAAACAGGATACAGGGCCCAGGACAAACACAACACCAAGGCAGAGTCTGTGGGTCTGGCCATCCCTTAAATACCCCAGCATAATCAGTTCCAGGTGTTTAGCTGGCTGCAAAGTTGAGTCTCTGATTGCTGGGAGCATCCGCTGGCCAGCCCTGGTACTGCAGATCAAAAGGCAGGAGAGTCCCACCATTGCTGGCCAGTCCATTCCTGACAGCCATATGGAACTACCGAGTGACTTTGACTCTCATAGAGTCACAGGTTGTTTGGCTGCCCTTTATTATCAGTTCTACCTTGTGGCTGCTGCTGTAAAAGGACCTGTTGATGATAGATTTTCAGGAAGTTGTCCTCAGTGTTGTTTGTGCCTCTGGTATATTGCACCCTAAAATCTCTCCCTGTATTTTCTCTCTGTGTAAGGTAAACCAGATTCCTAGCACAAGAAAACCAGTCTGGATTGCGCTCATGCATGTGCACATTGCACACATGCTCATTTTTCTGAGTGAAGATGCAATGTTAGATATACTGTACCAGTTTGTGTTGCACCCCTATTCCCGCATGAGCGTGTGCACATACCAATTAGCGTGCACACTTGGTGCCCAGTGACCTATTTAAACTAGTCTATCACTATGAGCAGTTGCTGAATGGTCTTTAGCTTGTTCCTGAGACCTGATCGGCTATACCTGCTTACCTGTGTATGACCCTGCTTGCCTTTGGACTTCGCTTCTGCTCTGCTTTAGCTCTGTTTATTTAACTACTCTGACCTCAACCTGTTTACTGGACTTGTCCTGCCTGCTGCCTCTGTACTGCTTTGCCCAGCTGTTACTGACCTTGGCCTGCCTTCTGGACTTGTTTGCCTGCTGATTTGGTTCCTCTCTGCTCAGTTGTTGCTGACTGCTACTCGTCTCCTGGTCCTGCTTCCATCTCCATCTCCTGCCAAACTGCTCCTGCATCCTGCAACTGTTAGCTCAATCTACCTTCGGAGTGGACATCACCAGCCAGCTACTATAGCACTTGTGCCACTCTTTGTCCTTACACTCTCTGTCTCCACCTTCAGGAGTTTTGGCCGGGAGTAGTGATGGGCTAGATGTTCGAGTCAAACGTGAGTTCAACTCAAACATCGGCCATCTGTGCATTTCCCGAACACACAAATGGTAAGGGCATTCATTGGGCTGTTCGCCCCACATGCACTGTACTTTCACGGTGTCAGATGCAATGCTTTGGCCAATCACAGCACAATTGGGCTGAGCTAGCAGCGACGTCACCTTTAACTCTGTCCAATTGTTTACATCTGTCCGTAAAAGTCAGATTGCGCTGGTTGCAGATGGTCAGCGGACATCGTTTTTTTTTAAATTCGGCAAATCTGCGTCATCGTGCCAATGCTGGACGCCATGATTGACGATGGTTTACAATGATGGAACCATTTGTTTGGCTTTTTTTTTTTTTTTTAATAAAGGGCTTGTCAAATACTTTTGTTTTGTTTTTTGTTCAATAAAGACATTTTTTAAAAGACTCGTCTTTTATTTTTTACTAAATGTAACCCTTTACCTTAAAGCTAATGAGCTCCCCTGCCCGCAGACACCCACAATCACCGGGTCAGGGTTGTGGGGAAGAGGCCTTTGTCCCCATCGGCATGGGTACACCGTCCTCATGCTGATGGCATGTGGCCTGGCAAGCCGCAAGGAGTAGGGGTGCTCATACCCCCCCTTTCCTGCCATGGCAGGCCTGAGTTAGGATCAAGGGTCTGGTAGAAATATAAAGGGAACCCACACTTCCCCCCCATTTTTTGGGGTGGGGTTCCCCTTTAAAGTTCTAACAAGCCCTAAAGGGCCTGGTAAAGCTTTTAGGGGAACCCCACACACCTTCCCCCCCCATTTTTGGGAGGTGAGGTTCCCCACGCACTTTTTTTAAACATTTTTACTGTGGTATGGATTAGGGGGGCACCTCATGATGTTTGTTTTTTTAAATGTCAGTCCTGCTGCAGCAGGTTCCATGCATTGTACAGATGTGCAACTTTGTAGTTTAAGGTGACCCCCCCAGGCATGATATTTAAAGGCATTTTAATTTTCACTGATTCATGCTCCTCAGAGCAGTACCCGAGTCCCCATACCCCTTTTATG